TTGCTGCATTTTTTAGAGCATCTTGTTTTAATCTGATAGTTTTTGGTGCTGCTCCTGTGTAAAATTGTGGTCGACCCTCTGTTTTCCATATATCTGGTTTTGAGCTAGAAGAAACAATCTTTGAAAAAGCATTTTCTAATTCTGATGATATGTTATCATCATGCCATTCATCTCCTGAATCATCACTTTCATAAATAAATTCATCTTCCAAAAATTCCAAGTGATCGGGTTCAAGATTTGAAGGAACATGCTCCTGAACATCTGCAATAATCTCTTCCTGAACATCTACAATAACTAGTTTAAGATATTAAAATATACCATTAGATTAATAAATGATAATAAATGATTGTAATATCACACTAACATTGTTTATTAGTAACATTATTGTCCTTTTTAGTTTTTCTAGCATTTTTTAAATGGTTTTTTTGTTTTTTTACTGGAGACATTTTGCTTCGAGTTATTTCTTAATCAGGAAAGATCGGTGTTAAAAATTTCGGCATGAGGCGCAGCATTTGATGTCTTTAGATACGGCGCACCATAACCATAGTAGTAATAAATATAATTATTGTATATTGATACAAAAAATGAAAACCAGTATCCAAATCTATCCAAAATGTCCCGAGATTATTTGATAATATATAAATAAACATTAAATTCGATACATATAGAAATTACTTATCACTGTTTGTTATGTTGGCTACAGTGCACCAATAGAACGAATATTCTCTGGAACAGATTTGGTAGTACAACGAATATGCAGTTTAAAAAGTAAGAATTTTCACAGAAACTGGCCGAAATCTGGGTTTATTATTGTAGATTAAAGAGTTAACAATAATTTTTACAATGTTATTATTATTAATTCTCTGGTTATTATAAAAATAGATAATCATTCCTCAATTTAATAACTTATCACACACATATATATATGGTCAAGTTCGCGAGCCAACTAGGCTCATGCAGAGCATTAATTTTAACCACGAGTTAAACAAGGCACATGCAGAAGCCACATATTTTTAGTAATACATAGAAATTTATTAGATTGTAAAAGATGGTGTAAAGGGTGAGAAGTAAATATTGGATACATGGAGATGACGGAATTAACCCAGCTGCAAGCATTAAAGGTGTGTTACAGGTGGAGTATGGTTGAAGTTAGATTGGAATAGAGATTGTAATAGTTGTCTAGTTTGTGTAATTTTGGAGGATGTGTACCAATTTGAGTTTTTAAAGGTTATTGAAATTTAGTCCAAATTAGAGTTAGCTTGGCAGAAAAATAGGTGAATGGTATTTTCAGGTGATTGATTGCAATAGAGACAATCAAGGTTGGGTGGGATTTGTGTTGAATGGTTACATATTAAGTTTTTTGTGGAGAATTTCAAATTTGAACGAGAAATAATGAACCATGATAAAATTGTGGATTATTTTCATGAACATTGAATAATAGGAGAATCTTAACAAATTCTGTATAAAGACATAGAAGTCACAAATAACACACATATCTCATTTTCAGCCATTCCGTACTTATACTCTTCAGTAAATTAACGGAATTTCACTTAGTATTATTAAGCTAGCTTTAGTATTAGATACAACACCAACATTCAAGCCTTTGGAAAAGCATCCGGAAATAAAGTAGCAGTTATAATGTTGATCTTATTCAACAAAAGAAATTTGGAAATTGATGAGGAAAGAACAAAATAAATCTGCGAACGAAATTGTAGAAGCAAAAAATAAATTGGAGTTAGTACTATTTAAAATTCGTACGGATCTAGAGAATGTAATGAACGATTATTTCGTGCTGACGATAGATGTAATATACAAAAAGCCTTGGAAAATGTCAGAGGACAGGTAAATAGTAACTGTTTTCTTGGAAAGACTTCATTAACATTATTAATAACTTTTATTTACCATAGATAATTTTGATAACTTATGGTCGCCAAAATAATTTAACAGGAGAACCAACAGACAAAAATATTATTGAATTTATTGAGAAATAGAGAATTTTCTACATATCTTGAAAATATGTCAGTAAAATAAAGTGTAGAAAGGTAGATGTATTGGAAATTTATATCATTCTGCTTCAAAGGTTTTGTACGGAAATGTAGATGTGGTATTAGATGCAAAAGATTCGCCAAGGAATGAAATATTTGTTTTTGGTTTGCATATTTTTTTTATTTTAACATACAATATGATTATAAGGATAAAGATGATAAACATGCAGACCTTTTACATTTGAAGATAAATGTAAATTGCAGCAACAACAACTTCTTCAACAATAAGAGAACTCTTGATTATCGTTTTTTGATTTCTATCTATATATTCGAATTCGAATTAAAAAATTCACATCTCATTCTTATTTTTAAACTTGTAACTATTGTAAAAAAATTTTATATAAATGACTATAACGGGTATATTAATGCCACAATAATCCATAAATTCAGGATTTGGTTTTCCCTTCGGTGTTATTTTATAGGAGTTATTAATAAAGACCAAGTCAGCATGTTTACTTAATATTAATGGACAAAATTTTCTCTTCTTATTAGTATTAGAGTGCCCAAAATCAATTATATTAAGATCGACATATATTTAATTAAAAAAAAAATATCAGTTAATTAGTTTTTTTTCTTTCAACATCAACAATTCACTCACTAATAATAATAAAATGACAGAAATAATTTCCAATGCTTCAAATGGTTCCTCTTCTCAAAACCCAACTTTACCCATAGAAGTAGCATCATCATCAACTTTTAAACCAACTTTACGTCGTAATCGTCCAGGAACTAAATTTGAAGTAAATTTAATAAACATACATATTGAATATATTGAACATAAGTTAAATATATGCATATATAAATATAGGACGCTTATCAATTTCCACATTTACCGTTGGATCAAATTGATACAGCTTTTGCATTACAAGAGTATTTACAGTCTTTATTACGAAATCATAAAGATGATTTAGACTTATTAGTGAAATTACCAGCTGGTCAGAGTGAAGAAGCGTGGCAATATGAACATCTAAGGTAAAATAAACTGATGATGATGACAATAATTTTTTATTCGATTTTTTAATAATAATAAATTTCTTCTAGACAATTATGCCTTGAACTTAATTATTTGGTAGTACAACTTGAACCAGAATGTAATAAGCAAACATGCCCTGAAATGAAAGCAGACGAATGGATGTATAGATGTGCTGCTCATTTAACACCAATGAATGTAATAATAATAAATCAAATTAATTATTTTTATATTTATCTATTTGTGAATACATATATATATCAATTTTTATTTTTATTGATTTTTTTTTTGAAATATTCATTATTAGTGCTGTGCAATTGATTATATTGTTCATACATTGGATGGAGCTACAAATTTATTGAATAGTCATAAATCTTTTCCTAGCAGGTTAGTTGAGAGAAATAATAAAATTTTTATTAGCATTCAGTTAAATTTATATTTAATATTATTTATTACATTTAATTGATTATTATTAATAATTGTTATTATTGTTATTATTTATGTAGATTGTCAATTCCAGATACTTCAGTAAAACATTATCAGTCTATTGCTAGAAGATTATACAGAATATTTGCACATGCATGGTTTCATCATAGAGAAATATTTAAAGAATTTGAGGTAATTTTTAATTTTGAGTGGAGGTTATTTTTTCCCCTGAATTAACATTTTTTCTTATCTACTTATCTATATATATATATATCTATATTTATATAGAATGAAACTTTACTATATTCAAGGTTTTTAAAACTTTCTAAAGTTTATAATCTTGTATCAAAAAATTTAATAATTATTCCTTACAATAATAATGATGATAATGATAGTGGTAAAAATGATATTAATAACAGTAATGACGACAGTGATAATGATGACAACAATAATGATGACAACAATGATGATGATGATAATGATGATGATGGTGATAATGATGATGACAAGAACAATGATAAAAACAACAGTAGCATTACGAGTAAAAAAGAGTCTATTGAAAAGTCAGATACATCATCATAATAATGCAAAAAAATATTTAATCAATTAATTCATTTAATATATTTATTTAATTATTTACTTAATATTAATATAATTTTTTTAAAAAAAAATCTGGTTCAATTTCATTTCATTCTGGATACTCATAATAAATTTATTCTTAATGCATAGATCTTCATTCATCTAATATTTCCCACATTAATTTGATATTCAATTAGTTGGAGAAAGAAAAATATAACTTGTTCATAACTTCTTATACTAGCATACTTCCTCCTTAAAATCAAGTGCTGGCAACTTTATAAATAAATATGACCATTCATTCATCTACTTGCTATCTTATAATAATTTAACAACCACCATCATCACCCTTATTCATTACACTCATTAACATTAACCTAGTAGGATATATTCACAAATCTGCAAGATTGTATAATTTCACTTTTATTTGATGCTGCTGAAATATTGTAATAATTCCACTTGATTCTTTTGTTATTTCTTGTAATTTCTTTTGATAAAAAATTACAAGTAACTTCATGTATGGTATGAAATATTCCTTTAAATCTCGATATCTATAAAATATCTGTGAATGGCAACTGGTCACCTTATCATTATATGAAGTAGACCTCTTTCTCTTTCCAAAAAAATGCATTTTAATAATAATTATAACAAAATATCACTATTTAATAATAATAATAGTATTAGTAGTAGAAGTTATGGTAGTAATAATAATTATCATGAAATGTATAACTTGCTGGCCGCAACTACTTCTTGGTAATAAAGGTCACAATTGTTTTTATAATTAAATTACATTCTTTAATAGCATTTAATTGGAGTGCTTTATTAGGCTGGTCTGCCATGGAATCGATTTATTTGTTACACTTCCGCTGGTGTATTTTGGACTTTAACATATGATACAATTTATGCACATCAGATAATATATATTTATTTGTTCCTAAACCATGACTATTTCCATAATAATAATAATATAGAACAAAAAATTTTGAGCTGCATTAATTATTTTCAAGATCAATGGTTTATCATTTGATAAAATAATTCAAGGATATGGTTATCATTGTTTTCAAGACCAATGATTTCTTGTTTAATTTTAAGTGGTTATATGAATGATCAAGGCTTTACCCTATTATTTATCATCGTGTGGGGTGCTAGTATGCATTTAATTTAGCAATTGAAAACTGTAGGTTTTGATAACATTATTGATTGTGGAAAGAAATTTAAAAAGTAATAAATGGCTAGGAATAATAATGTTGAGTAGCATTGTTTCTGACAGAATTAATTATAATAATAATAATAATAATAATAATAAAGAAAATATTTATAAGACAATTTATATTATTATTTTATTGTTTTTTAAAAAAATAATTAAACTTTGAATTCTAAAGCTCCTCACGAGCTGGCTCATGTGAAGCCTCATTTAATTCCTATAAATTTTATACTTTCTTCTTGATTTATGATCCGTAAAATCTCCATTCTTTTTAGTTTTTCATTTTGTTTATCATTATCATCATTATGATTCTTTTTACTATTAAAATCTTTCACCTCCTCTTTATTATTGTTGTTGCTGTTGTTACCATTAACCAATTAAAAGTTGTAATCTTTCGCTTGCAACATTTTTTTAAATATTTTGCTTTAGTTCATCATCTAATACATCATTTTCATCTTCTTCAAGATTACTATTATTATTATTTATTTTCTCTCGAATTAGAAAATAATCTTGTCCGATTCCATTCAGATGATGGTGAGGGTCTACATGACGAAGAAGTTATTTGATGTGTTAGAATTGTTGAAAAAATATGATCAAAAAAATAAGGTTGTGCTTGAAATGATTTGTACGAAAAATCATTAAAAGATTGACTAATCCATGTTTCTTAATATATAAAATTGTTGTTAATATTAATATTATCTTTATTTTTTGATAGAAAGAATTCATTTCTAAATAAATCAACAGTTTCATTATTATTATTATTGCTGCTGTCGCTGATGTTGTCATCTTCTCCTACATGATGGTAGTGATGGTGAATTTGATTATTCCATTTATTAAAAGTTTCATTAGCACCATACTCTTCATAATTATTCACAATTGTTATACTGTTGTACGTGAAAATGAAATTATGTGAATTCGCAATTCACATACGTGAAATTCAAATTTACATGCGTGAAATTCAAATTAGCCAATCAGAATTTCACCCCACTCCATAATATTTCAATTTCACATGCAACAATGACGATGAAAATTTTCTTGATTCCTGTTCAGTTGATACAATGATGCCAGTATTAGGTTCTTTCAGACATGGTGGCATCTTGAAAAAACTTATTTGGAAGTTGTGATATCGGGTTGTTGACATTGGAATTTTCAAAAATACTATTATAATTATTGATAGAACATAATGGCATTGTGGTTGAAATGTTATTCTTCAAAAAACGAAATTTGTATCTACGTACATTATGTATTTATACTTAATGTTTATTTTTATTTTTATTTTCTATTAGTATTTCACGATGCCAGAATAGTATCTTATTCTTTTTTCTTCAATGTTACATGGTAAACTAAAATTGAAGTGCCTTACATTTTTTGGTAGTCTTGCTTGTTGTTATTTACAGCTAATTGTCTAGACACTATGCCGTGATACCTTTTTCTTGGCTTGGTTCTGGATTACAGTCAACGCCTGATAATTTTTCTTCGTCACTAAGTTCTATATCATTAGCAAATAAAATATTTTGACAAAGGTAAAATGTTGAAGTCTGATACTTTTTAGCTTCTCATAATTCGAAGATGTTTTTTATGATATCAGGGTTTCTTTTTTCGTACTAGACTTCAATAACTTAAAGGGACTGTTGTCAACCTTTTGGAATTTTACAACACCGGGATTAGAAAAAAGTATTGAAAATTTTACTATCCAACTTCTTTGAAATAAATCTCCAAACTAGATTTAATGAAATGCTTTCCCACTTTCATAACATTAAATTTTATCAATCCAGCAATGCTAGATTCTACACTGTTTTTTTACAAAGTTTCTTGATTATCCCAAAACTGTCATCACAATTGAATAACAAATTATTGATGCTCTATTGTGAGATCGTGTTCGGGTAAAGCCTTTCTGTTCATACAATTTCAATATATTCTAATAAACCGACGCTTTCCTGATTCCAGTTATTAATACAATCCTTTATGGAAGCTATTCATACAGAATACTCAACTATTCAATGGCAATATGTTGGACAAAACTTCCGTATATTTCTCAATACGAAATATTGAGCTTGCTTACTTATACAATCACAATAAATTCAATATATAATTTCGATCGTTAATGTTAACAAATCAATTATTCACTGGTATATATATATACATATATTCAAGCAAGCGTTATAAGAAATATTTATTATTACTCGAGATGTTAACATGAGAAGGAATTAATTGATGATTTGAAGAGTGAGTTATCTGAAAAGTTCCGTACGAAACCGCTTAAAACTTACCTGGAGGTGTTTCTAAAAATGGTTTAATATGAGACATTTACCTAGTCAAAATTCTAGACTTACAATTCCAACGTCAGCCAAATATCCTTCTATATGAAATAGCACCTGATTTCTGTAACTGAATTAGTGATACTAGTGATAATTTGAATTATATATTTACAGAGAAATTTTTTTTTCATGTATTATGGGGATACTAACACGTCAATTAACAGTATTTCATTTGGATAAATTCTATTACTTGAAATTATTAAATAAATTTTTCTTTATTTTTATTAAAATATTAAGTTAAAACTTTTTTAAAAAAAAAATCATAAATAATCATAAATAATCATAAAATCGATAAAATTCATAATCTGTGATTGATAAATAATTAAATCTATAATGGATAAGTGTATAGTGAATAAATGATAATTATGAATAAATTTGAATGTATATTAATATGAATACAAATAATATGAATTGTTGAATAATTGAATGATTGATAAAAAGTTAATAGATACAAAATATAAAGTCAAAAACTTAATTCTCTCTTTAAATATAGTATTCCGTATCTTTAAGTGAAGCAGCAACACTTATACAATCTGATTTTATAAATCCATTGCTTCCATTACTCCCACTACTACGACTAGTACGGCTACTACTACGACTTGATGAAGAATTGTTGTCATTCCATAATGTTACAAAGTTTTTTGCTTGATTGACTAAATGATGAGCGTAATAGACAGGAACTACATGTGATACAGAAAGATTACATCTAAATAATAAATTGCATAGATTTAGGGTGAGAAATTGATGAAATTTTTATAAATTAAAAAATAAATAGAATAATAATATAATATTTAAATACCTTGCAGACAAGAAACATAATTTATAAGTAAACTCAAACATTTCTTCATTCGAGAAACCTCTTTCATCGTATATTACATAATAATGAGTTGGTTTGGAAGTTCCAAGACGACCCGTATGCGAGTATAAATCTGTTTAATATTAATTATGTCAATTCATCAAATAAGTAAATAAATTAATAAAATTAATTAATAATAATAAAACTTACAAAATTCAAAATTTTGTGGGACGACAATTCCTGTAAAAATAACAGTTCCTTGCTCACAATTTTGATTCTTATTACTACTATTCAACGCCAAAGCTCTAATTTATAATAATAACAATCATTATCATTATTAATATTATAATATATTGATATATAAATATGTAATTATTAATGAATTAATGAAAAATACCTGGCACGATGCCTTTTTTGTACAATTACAAATGTTAGTTTTGGTAAATTCTGTTTGTGTTTAGAATAAACGGTCTTGAATGCAGCTTTTAATGCTGTAATTTCCTGATCTTTGACATTTTGAAAACCAGTATCGGAAACACCATCTCTATAAAATACTATTTGATCTGGTAATCGTTTGTTTTCACTATAATACACCTCTAACAATTCCACTGACATTGGTTCAAGATCTTCAATAGTTTCATTTCTAACTTTGCGGTTTGCAGAGAAACGTGCTGCATATTTTGTTAGATGTAAGTTTTTTGATGCAATAACGCCGGCAATACTTGCTCGTTCTCCTTCCAATCTTCCTGGATGAAAAACATCAGCACCCATAACCATAAAATGCTATATGGTCGATCAATTGGATAAGTGAGCATATTGTTGATTAATTAAAAAATTGTGAATTTGATTTTGCAAAAAAAAAAAAGATTCTTACTTCTTTTTTTGTGATTTTCTCAAGCTCACCAGGACTCAATCGAGCATTTTCACCACCTAATTTCCCATTAATCTTTAATGACAAATTATTAAATGTACTTCCCCATTTATCTTTGTGTCTTGGATCAATATTATTAGACAAGATACATTGAGTCGCAACACCTAATGTAGCTGCAATTTTTTTTACAGCAGGATAAACAGTTGAATTTCCTCCATTTTTTGTAACTATACAAATGATTAAATCAGCGTTTCCTCTTTTTTTATCAAATCTTGCTCTTTCCAAAGCTTTCACTACGGCCTATATTTAAACAAATAAACATGTTAACGAATATTATTTATTTATATTTATATTTTTATTTAATTCCTACCCCTTGAATGTCTCCCTGTGGATTTTCATGCTTAACTGATGGCGAATAAGGAACACTCTATTTTGAATTAAATAATAATTATTATTTTTTGCTATATTTAACCTACAACAATAATGAAGATGATTTTTACCATTCCTCTTTTTGTTAATGTAGATCTTAATAATCTCATAGCAGCTTCTATTGTTTCAACTTTTACATAACTATCAAATATTATAACTGACCAATTAACGACAGCTTTTGCCTTTAAAAAAATTTAATTATTATCTAAAAAATTATTAAAAAATTAAATTATTAAATTAAAAATATTAATAACTAAAAAACTTACTTCAACAAATTTATCAGTATCCCAACGATGATTTCTTATAACAGTTTTAAGATTACTACCAGTATGAAGATTTGGTTCAGGTACAATCTTACCCTCTTCTTCAATAAAATGTGAATCAATCTTCAATCCAAATGCTTTCAAAACTTTATCTTCATCATATTTATAAACTTCATGTATTGCATCATATATGTAATCAAATCTATCTTTTGGTTCAATGCATGTTTTGCGAACAACTTGTCTTCGTGTATCTTCAGAAAGTGGTTTCCATTCTTTTTCTTCAAATTTTTGATCTTTAAATAAGGATGATATTAACAATGATAATAATGGGAATGAGAAGAGAACAGCAAATTGATAAACTGAATACTATATCTTTAATAATAATAGTTAATGGACCATCTAATAAATCATACCTTTAACAATTTCGCAAACTTCGATTGGGTAATAATCATCCTTTTTTAGATTTCGATTGTATACACCGATACAAGGTAATTTAGGATATTGCAATTCATAATCCCACCGACTTTTAAAATATTGCTGAATAGTTTGAGAATTTCGATCGTTTTTATTAACTTTTAAATTAGCAGCACTTTCATGTGATAATCTGCTGATGGTGATTTGTCTTCTTTTTCCATATGATGTAATTTCTAATTTTACATCTTTAAGATAACTTTGAAGGGAACGACATTCATCTAAGCTAAGACCTCTTGTTTTTAAATCATTTAGCGTTCTCAAATGTCTAGAACCTCTCTGAATCGCTTCTGGTATAATATTAATTAATGGACCAGGAGGATAAAATATTGCTGAACTTCTATCAACGTTTACCACCAAACAATCTATAATAATAATAATATAATATGTAATACATGTATTAGTATGCGTAAATATAAAATGATTAAGTAATGTGCATTAATAATAATTATTATTATTACCCCATCCAGGTTTAAGAGCTTGTTGAATTCCTGGTTTTAATACTAATGCACCAGGCAATTTTATTTCTTTAAATAGTGGCAAATCAGGAAAAATTGATCTTCTTCCTAGTGATAAATGGTTTAATCTAGGTGTAGAATTTAGAATTGCGTTCAATAATGAAAGACCAAATTGAACAGTGCCATCATATTCTGTATTTGGATTTAAAGAAACAAAGTCCATAAGTTTTTCTAAATCAGCTTCTCCTTGATATCTTAATTTTACTTGATAATTTTTACTTCTTCTTCCTTCAACTTCAGCAGGAAGATCGATCTAAACATTAAAGTTAAATATAAAAAATCTAAATAAAAAGCATATTATTATTATTATTATTATTATTATTATTCTACTCCTTACTTTAAACTCTTTATCTTCTTTATGATCAAATGCAAATTTTTTATTAGAAAAAATTGGCCCACCATCGTAAACTGATACAATGTTTCTCCCCAAAAGTTCAATTGATCTAATGCGATCATAGACTTTTTTTGAAACCTTTTTGCTTGCCGGTTTTCTAGGCGGTTTGGTAATTTCAGTCACATCAAACGAGTAATTATAAATTGCAGGATATTCTTTCTAATTATTTTCAAATAAAAAATAATTAATAATCTTATTTAATTTAGGAAAATCAAGAATTAATTAATTACCTTAACAACTCTTAAAAAGTTTAATACAAGTTTTGCACTTTTCCATTTGTCTAAACGATCGGTTGGTCTTTTTGTAATTTTGTAAGTGGTAATGCTAGTAGTAGTACCACTAGTAGTAGCAGACTTATTAGATGATTGCATTATTTGAATTTAGGAATAAAATATCAAAAATAATTTTATTAAATAATTTTTATTTGCAAAGAAACATTTTTTTAAAATAGAAAAATCAAACGAAATTTTTAATATCATCATCATTGTATACTCAGAAAAGCAATAAATGAACAATTGTACATTGTTACGCATCAACCGCAACAAAAATCTATTTTTATAGTAATAGGAAAATAAAAAAACATGACTAATTAATTATGTCATTTTAGTTTTCTGTGTGGAAATATTCGAATGCATAAATGGAAAGAAGATTGATCAGCCAATAATTTTCGGTAGAGGAGGAATCCAACAGTGTGTTATTATTGTTGTTGTTATTATAATACTAATACGATTTTTTTTGATGTTGGAGCTTTAAATACATGTTATTAAGAAGTTTTGAATCATGAATTAGACAATTTAATTCTCTACGACTGTTATGTTTATTCTAATTTTATAATTATTTATTATTGTGTAATGTCAATTTAACCATAAAAATGAAACATGATTTATGGAACTTTGATTATAATTATATTAGTTCAGAACCCCATTTATAAAAAATTGCATTAGGCAATATTTTACTTGTTGGACAAAAGATTTTTTTTTTTCTGAAATATCCGTTGAAAATAAAATAATTTCAAAATTTCAATCGAAAACTTCATGCAGAACAATGCAAAATCACGATTATCATTGTTGTTGTGTATTGTCGACTAACTTGGTAATTGCATAATTAATAATAACCAGAAAAAAGTAATTTATGCATATCAAGTTTCTGTTTTGCTACTAGTGTCTTAAATTAATCATAGATTAAAATATCTGGATCCAAGATCCAATTGCCAATGAGTATTCCTGGATAAATTGATTATATATATAAAAAAATTATTAATATTTAAAAATTTAATAAACTCGATTTTTTTAATGTAAATTTAAAAAACAACAAACAATGGCCTGTTCACTTAAATATTGCACCATAATTTGGTGGAGATTCTTCCTAATATAAATTCAGAGGTTATATCTATTGAATTGTCAAGGTTGATTTAATTTAAATTTTGATATTGATAGATTTTCTAATTGGAATATATTGATAAATTTTTTTAAAATAGCAAGAAACATTGTTGTAGAAATAAATTCTTGATTTGATGTATAGTGTTCGAAAATGACAGCCAACAAGTTTTACATAATTTCAATACTTTAATAAAGTGATGGTTCTTTTAAAAGCTAAATTAATAAAGTAAAAATTAATATAGTCAAAGCTCGTTAAATTCATATGCGATAAATTCATAATTCTTCAGGAACCAGTGCCATTTATATTAAAATTTATTTGGTAATTTCATATTTATAGTAGTAACAAAATCTCGATAATTGGAATAATTCATAACTCTGACTTTCTGTATATATGAAATCTTGCTCTTTAAATTCATATATAAGTAGCCAATCTTGTTCATTTTTTCTGAAATCTTATCCTTTTATAGACATTATGGATTCTCTCGATAATGGGAATAGTTCGGTAATTTGCCGTAATGTTTTTTCATATTTTTGAAAATATAAAACTTCATCTGAAGCATCTTGAATGAAGTGATACACTATGATTTGAGGATTTTACTTTTTTTAAGTTTTGCTGTAACAATTTATTCCCATCATATTAGAAGTATTACAAAACGATATGATAGTCTTAAATTTTTCTCCAACTAATGAATTCTAGATTAATCATGCCAACTACTTATTTCACGATGACATATTTTAACAATGAATTTCTCTACAATTGCTAAATATTTATCATGATCAATGAATGCTATTAGCTTCATCAATCATCAAGCTCCTGTTTGAAGAATTAAATTCTTCGCCTTATTGGTGATTGTTTTATCACAAAAGCTACAGTATACTATCTAAAAGAATAGACCAGCATATAGCTTGCATATTTTGATCTAGATGGTAATGGTTTTTCTAAGGAAGCAGATTTAAAATAGAAATATCAATTCACTGTTATTTTCAATTTGTGGAAAGGAGGCCTCTGATAATGTATCCATCCGATCCTCTCTATTTAAAAAACTTAACATCCTCTTTACATTCTAACCTGAATCGTTCAATATATTTTAACGGTACAACATTATTATTATCAGTGCTCATGAGGTTGTGCGAAATGGACAACACTCAACCTTTGCAATTTATCCAAATAAATTTTTTAAATAAATGTATTTATTATGTATAATTGAAAATATAATAAAAAAAAGATAAAAAAATATTAATTAATATCATAATTAGATAATTAGATAACAATTCTATTGTGGTAACTTCTGTTTCTCGTTGTCGTCATCATCACCATTATCGTCATCATCATCTCCTAAACCTTTTATTCTTTGTTTTTTATTAGAATCAACGTTGTTGTTAATATTATTACTACCACTACTAATAAACCTTGATTTAATACTTCTAATAGCAGCATTAAAATTGATTTGAAATGATAACGGTGAGGATTTTGACGATGAAGCAGCAGTAGTGCTAATGGTGGAGGCGGTTGTGGGAGTGGAAGTGGAAGTGGAAGTGGAAGTGGAAGTGGAAGTGGAAGTGGAAGTAAAAGAATTGGAAGTAAATTTTGGAAATTCGTTGGTCTCTTCTTTTTTTTTTAATAATATTAAATCGTCTTCATTATTTGATAGTGATGATGGAGACAATGATTCTTTCTTATCAAATAACATAAATAATTTTTGAAATGATGATGATGGTGGTGGTGGTGGTGAAGAAGAAAATAGTGTTGTTGATGATGGTGGTGGTGGTGGTGGTAGTGGTGGTGATGATGATGATAATTTTTGTCGTTTGTTACTTAATTCTTTATCAATATTTATTTCTTCTTCTTCTTGATCTTGATCAGTTGGAGATGTCGGAGATGGAGTAGATGAGCTTTTTCGCTTATTTTTATGATTATTCCCACCATCATCATTGTGATCATCATCATCATTATCAACAACATCATTACCATTGCTATTGCCATTGCTATTACCATTGCCATTGCCATTAGGTTCATTATCGTAATCATCATCGTCAGCATTGAAATAGGCCTCTTCATCATTATCAACAGTTGTTGATGACCAATCACTTATTATGGCTTGACGTGGATTAGCACTAATGATATGTATATAAATTTATTAATTATAAAACCATTTATAAGCATTTTTCAGTCAAGGAATAAAAAGTTAAGTAACATACGGATTGTTTGTTGCCTCATCAGATTCCGTAGTAACATCAGTCGTTTGATTATGATTTCTATCGTATTGTTGGATAAGCTTCTCAAAAGTGTTGGCATAATCACTAGTTGATGATAGTTCCTCACGATGTTTATCAACTATTTCATCAATAAATGGCCGAATATTACTCTATTATTATAATGTTTGTTAGGTTGTTATATATGATTCATAATTACAATATTGCAACAAAATAAAAACAATAAAAAAATATACTTACTACTCGAATATATTCAAGTAATTCAACCGAAGCAGAATTTAATAAACTGTTTTTAGGTTTAGGTTCTAATAATAACTTTAATATTGGTGTCATGATTTTGTGTGATGCAACATTTTTGGCTACAAATTTATAATCAAGCCCAATTATTGAACGAATGGTTCGTAACGCCGCTAATTTTTTAAACGATATAATAAATATTTTTCCAGGAAATAATTTGATTTTAAAATTTAATAATAACGATAATGGTGATAAAAATAACTTACAAAGCCTTAAAATTTTATCATTTGTCCTCAACAATAACACAAGCTTTGGTACAATGCTATTTGTCATAATAAGAAATTTACTTCTCACTCCATGATATCTTATCATCATTCTCATTAACTCACATAGATGAAAGAATAAGGTTAATTGTGATTCGGTTAAATATAATATTTCTGTAAAGTTTATTCTTAGTTAGCATCAGAACTAATAATAGAATTAATAATTAATCAATCAATTAATTTGAATATTTTACCAGTTTCAGAATTTAAATTTGGCAAATTAATTAGTGGCCCGAACAAGGTTACAGATAAATTTTCGTAAAAAAATTGTAAAAACTGATCATTGTCTTTTTCTTCCTTATACCTAGCGAGTGCTGACTCCTATATATACATACACATAAAAAAGATTTTTTTTAACATATAAATTATCATTATTATATTCCAACTAGACCTTGAAAAAAATTAAATATACCTCATAAATGTAATCCATATCTAAACTACCATTTATATTAATTAGAGATTGCAAAACACCGGCTAAATGAGTTGTGAAATCTGAATTTTTATTTTCAACTATTTGATTTATTATTATAGTTGCTAATGATTTTTCATTTATTCTATGTTTCCTAAGTATATGCAACCTTACTATTCCTGCCTCCAACACCATAATTGATGATAATAAATTACTACCTCCTGATTTCAAAATGGGATCATCAATCTCTAAAGTTGATTCGATTGCGTCTAAAATTCCATTTTTACATAATGCTCTAATAAAGTAATATTTGTTGTGTTATTATTGTTTGTTAGGATAATAAATAAAAATACGAACGGAGAAAAAAAATAACAAAAAACAAAAAATATTGGTAGCAAACCTGTATAAATCACTTCTGCTGGAAGGTTGCAAATTTTTGGCAATATGAAATAATTCTTGTAAAAATCCTATGGAATCATATTTTTTTTGTATAGGCTCATTTGGTTTATTTAGTATATCAAATATTTCTAATAAGTATTCAGAATCATTAGCAAAATGCCTGCATATCTCAATATAATTAAAACAGATTAATGAAGATAATGCTGTTAATGTTTCATCATCGCATGATCCATGTAATAAGGAATCTCTAAAAAATTGGATTCGAAATGTTTCGTGAATTTTTTCTTTAATAAGGTCATCTTTAATTTTTACAGCCTAAAAAATAATATTTTTATATTTTAAATATATTAATGTAAACAACAATATAACATATATATTAAAAATTAAAGATAGTTTTACTTGTTTATGTTTAGATTGATCTGATAATAATTTTCTATGTTTAGGTCTTTTGTTGGTATATTGTGGATCGTCTTTTTTGAGGAGAGAAAAAGAAAAAAAAATACAACATTAACGTTGTTATTATTGCAGATTAATGTTTATAGGCCATTTAATTATTTGCCTACATTCAAAAATTCCTGCGACCTTGACGAATAAATCTTTACGTATAAGTACTTCAAATAATGCAATTTCATGTAAAGAGACTAGAAGATTAAGAACAAAAAGTCATGTAAGACAATAACAGCATATTAGATATTGCATAATTCAAATATAAAATATAAATAAAACCCGTACAAAGAATTATCACTTCTACTTACTTATACTTTTCAAGATATTGAATAATGTGTGGAGGTAATCAACGTCTTTTAATTCTTCACACATATTAAAAAGTGGTAATAATTTTTGAAGGTATTCGTTCTATTATTATAAATAATAACAGTAATAGTTGATGAATGATTGATCTTATAATAATAATAATTTAAATAATACTAAAATAAATAAATACTTCGAGCAAAAAACTGGCCAACTGGTATTTTTCTAATTCACTCGATTCGCTTGCTATTTTGATTATTGAATGTATAGTTGCCAAATTTTCAAGTGTTGGTTCTGGCAGATCTAAGTTAAAATTATTAGATCCCACTTGATCTCCATTCTCTTCTTTCTCATTCTCTTCTCTTTCGTTTTCTTTACCATTTTTTTCTATCATTTATTATTTATCAAATATTTGCCAAGTTACAGACGGTATTAATAATTTACAAAAAAAAAATAACAAGATCAACCAGAACTTATTTATTCTAAAATATTGCATGTTAACTTGTTTACTCAATTGTGCAACAATATGTTGTTAGAGTTACACGATTTGTATAATAATAATAATGCCATAATGAGAGAATACATAAATGTTTCAGGGACTCTGATTTGTTAAACACCACACCACCTTTTGCAACTGAAATAGTAAAAAATCATATCCAGAATTCATCTTATTGACATTTTGGTTGATATAAGTCAGTACAAGATTTCGTTTGTCGAAAACTTTTACAATAATGAATCAATGGTTGGCTAGGGTCTTTTGTGAATCTTTAATAAAAATTTCAATTTTGTTGAGCCTATCTTAACTTTCTGGGATTCTCAAGAAGTTGAGCATCGTTGATGAACACATTCCGCATCACTGCCGTTGGATTTTATAAATAGTAAGAGTCATTAAAATTTGCTGTAATATTAAATTAACCATATGGCCTAAGGATATACGCAAAGTTTCATATGAAAAGATTTAAACAAACCCTATCTGAAAAGGGAAAAAATCATATTAAGTACCAATTAAAAAATATATATCTATTTAAAGTTCAAATAACACAGTAGCGCTATGAATTAGAACTAGGCTGTATGCTAATTATTTTCAATGTTCTCTCGTCCTGCATACACCCTCTGGAAGAAAGTAATCAGACGCATTCTTGAATTTTGTATGACAAAATAAAATCAAATATAGATTAGCTTGCAGCCTAGGTCCTTACAAATATTAATATTAATATGTATGCAAATTTTCACGTCTCTAAAATTTCCAAATTGGAATTAAAATCGCGGAATTCTAACGCTAATTTTTTCAATTTTGATAAAAAATAGGAAGAAGGGCTGACCGAATTACAGCGTGCAAATATTTTTGGTCCTTCTCGATCGTGAGACTATCTACTCTTAATCCGGTAATAAATTCACCCGACTTTGAACCTTTCAACTCAGCATAGACACTTTCTTTGGATAATCTACGAGTAATTTGTTCTTTTTGGTAATTGCTGACTATTTTTTTTTTTTCAGAAAACGTTTCACTATGCTGTTTCAAAGTCATAATTAGAGATATTAAAAATATAGTAAATTATTTTTACTTCTGACAGATTAAAAAATATCTACAGGGTTTTAATCTGATGTATCGTATCGATAAAAATATTTATTTTATTTCTCAATGAAGCTATTTCTCCAGTGTCAATTCTGTTCTAAAAACCAGGTTAGTTGACATGACAATATTTGCCTTGCACAGCAATTTTGTCTATTCGGATCTCCTTCGGTATTACCAGAGCACTGAGCACAGGTAGACAAGTCTAATTTCTACTGCTAGCCATAATCTAGATTCCTTTCGCTTCACCCTAAAATATGTACCTTAATCAAGTCATCCCTTAATATTAATAACTTTACCAAATCCATTTTTTGTACAACGATTAGCTCTAAAATTTTCTTTTATTTATTAATATATTTATTATGGGTTCATTATTATTTCTCTATATTTAGTTAATATAATAAATAAGTCGATCGTTTCAAGTATATGGAATCTAATTATTTTATAAATTAATCAAAATGTACATATTGAATTCCATGTACTTTCAAGATAACTTTTCCTTGATTAAAAGGACATAATAATAACAAACTTTGGCATTTGAGAATGAGCTTCGACTTGATGAACTCATATGTTGACAGAAGCTGATTCATTCAATTTATTTTATCACAATCAATTATTTTGATAATTGGTGACGTTTGTTAATAAACCACCATCACTCAACTTTTGCTTGGTTTTTTTCCTGGACATAGATTAACTCTTTGTGACTATAAGTGTACCTTTTGCAATTGCATGTGATTAGTGACCAATCAAAACAAAGACAAGAATTGTTCTATTTACAAAAAATAAATATCAGAATAAATACTTTACTGTAAAAATGGTAACCATTCTCCTTTTATAAACTGATACAACATCACTTGTCTGTTTAACTATATATATTTTGATTTCGTAGGCTAATTGCAGAGAGTCAAGCACAAAAAAGCCTGACACCATGATATCTTCTTCTTCCTATGCTCCCACATATCTTGCTTTGTCATAAAAATTGTGCTCATCATGTGTGATTATGACATACATGCATGCACTTTCTCACAAGGCTGTTGTAGTAGCTCAATAGCTCCATTCATATTTATAATATAAAATTTTTATAATTGAACATTCTCTTTAACCATGTTTTGCGAACAACTTGTCTTCGTGTATCTTCAGAAAGTGGTTTCCATTCTTTTTCTTCAAATTTTTGATCTTTAAATAAGGATGATATTAACAATGATAATAATGGGAATGAGAAGAGAACAGCAAATTGATAAACTGAATACTATATCTTTAATAATAATAGTTAATGGACCATCTAATAAATCATACCTTTAACAATTTCGCAAACTTCGATTGGGTAATAATCATCCTTTTTTAGATTTCGATTGTATACACCGATACAAGGTAATTTAGGATATTGCAATTCATAATCCCACCGACTTTTAAAATATTGCTGAATAGTTTGAGAATTTCGATCGTTTTTATTAACTTTTAAATTAGCAGCACTTTCATGTGATAATCTGCTGATGGTGATTTGTCTTCTTTTTCCATATGATGTAATTTCTAATTTTACATCTTTAAGATAACTTTGAAGGGAACGACATTCATCTAAGCTAAGACCTCTTGTTTTTAAATCATTTAGCGTTCTCAAATGTCTAGAACCTCTACCGAAAATTATTGGCTGATCAATCTTCTTTCCATTTATGCATTCGAATATTTCCACACAGAAAACTAAAATGACATAATTAATTAGTCATGTTTTTTTATTTTCCTATTACTATAAAAATAGATTTTTGTTGCGGTTGATGCGTAACAATGTACAATTGTTCATTTATTGCTTTTCTGAGTATACAATGATGATGATATTAAAAATTTCGTTTGATTTTTCTATTTTAAAAAAATGTTTCTTTGCAAATAAAAATTATTTAATAAAATTATTTTTGATATTTTATTCCTAAATTCAAATAATGCAATCATCTAATAAGTCTGCTACTACTAGTGGTACTACTACTAGCATTACCACTTACAAAATTACAAAAAGACCAACCGATCGTTTAGACAAATGGAAAAGTGCAAAACTTGTATTAAACTTTTTAAGAGTTGTTAAGGTAATTAATTAATTCTTGATTTTCCTAAATTAAATAAGATTATTAATTAT